AAGTTCTTCAAGTATAACAAGAATTAAAGCAATGATATAAGAGTTTTTAGTAATATTCATTTCTAAATACGCTAATATAAATTATTTGATGTATTTACGAAAGAAATTGCATTCATTCTCTTTTAATTATTTAAACATAGAAAAGACAAACTTAATAGAAATATTTTTACAGTAAATCCAGTTATTCAACGTTAGAGTATTGTTATAATTTTATATTTTACCTGCGGTTATTAGATAGTTGCGTTGTAAGTCGTTTTGGGTTAACAGCATACTTTTAGCGTGCATTTTTGCACCTTTGCATGTAAACACAAATTACCTGTCCCATATCGTACATTCCCCGCCCCCTACTTCCCAAGGCAACATCAACAACAGCGTAAGATCAACGTGCTTTTGTTCCGGTGCTTGAGGGAGGGGGACTCTTTTTTACTTTCAATTAAACAAAACACGTTTCCCCAGATATGCCCAACAAGTTTGCTTCGTGTTAAAAAAAATACCTTCTAACAAATGACGGCGGAACTTGTATCCGGCGACGTGGAAGTTCCGTTTCCGGAACAAATGCGAATCGAGCGGGCGGGACGCCTCCACACTCGCTGTTTCGCCTTTATCAGCTTCCCATTTTCTCCGCGCTCTTAACCTGCGGAGCAGAATGAAAGAAGTCTCTTCGCCGGGGTGGAGCTGCCAAAATATAGCGTTATTTTTGCAATTTTCATGGAATAATGGGAAGCAAAGGCGAGAGGATATACGGATCGATTGAAACCCTGAGAGGTTCTCTTCGAAATACGAGGAAGGAAAGGCGTTGTCTTGCTCCCGATGCGCGAAACCGACTTTTGTGAGGTTTGTAGTGGAGGAAATCTTCAATGCTGATTTGATGCTTCCGCCCTTCACGTGCTTTTTAGATTTTTAGATTCCATTACTTTCTTTTCTTACATGATTATACTTCATCTTCAAACTTTACCTCCTACAAGTTAGACGTTTCACATTGCCAATTATGAAGAACGTATGTTGACATAAATCAAGATCTAATATTAAATTATGTATATTAGTACATCCAGATCTTACTGTTAGTTATTTCAACTTCACAGATAACTGTAGAAAAATGAAATAATGGAATATAATAATACTTATTTAGTGGTAAAAGTGTCATTTAATTTTGCGAGTAGAAAATATTGCGTCACGTACCATATGGATACTTTTTATTTTATTCGAAGGATTCACCGACTGGCAAATACTGCGAACAAAATAAAACCACTTATACCGCGCGAAATTCTCTACTTTTTCGACAGCTTTACTGACTTTCCTTCAGTTTCAAATCAAGCATACAAATCACTAGATTACATGTTACAATATTCACATGGTCATACAATTTGAACTTTAAACGCGCTGTGAACACAATATAACTAACCGCTTTTACTAGAGGCTGAGTAAAACGATTTTTATAAGCATTTTCAACAGGCGTTGACCGATTGCCTTCTAATCAATGTATCCCTAAATACCCTTGTTTGCGCTAACGCTATAAATGGTTTGTTCAACAATTTCTTCAACATATTAAAAGTCAGTTCCTAAGCCTTACTTTTAACTCGATTCAAATCACGTAATACAATAGGCGTCCATCCCGTTAATAAGTAAGATCTTTACATCTAATAAATTCTTCCAATCTTATAAGCTATTGAGGTAAGTGATGAAGTAAGCACACCCCACAAACCACATAGTTTACTGCTCCGAAGTTGCTTAGTCCTCCACGTATTAAAAATTGCCTTGGCACCTGATCATTATTCACGTGGCTGTTTCTCACTTAGATTTGTTCTTTATTTCTAAACAGTATTTAGTATAGAGAGCGTAGGGTTAGTTTGTATATTTCAGAAAAATACCTTCATTGTCTAAACAATTGAATTTTAAAAATTAATGCTTACATATTAAAACCTGTAATTTTAAATGTAGGTAGTATATGACTATTGTGAACTAGTGATGCTCCAACAGCACATATTTTATTGCGTTAACAGCTACGTAATATTGAAATATTTCATTTTCTGCACTACTATAACCTCAGATATTATTTGAAAATATTAAATTCAAACAAAGCTCCTGTGATGCATACCTGCTCCTATTTCGATAATCAGAACAGGAATCATTTCTTACTTTCACAAATGAAACAAATAGGAAAATCCTGTTGAGTGAATTTGTTCCTACCAAAAACTTAAAGAAAACATTTGGAACTGTTTTTGAGAAAATCTGGCTTTTGTGAATTTTTAAAGTGCACAAATTGCACGCAATATTTCGCGAAATCTACTGAAATTTTCAAAATAATATACGTCATCTTAATGATAGAACTCACTATGGAGAACATTAATACGAGAAAGTCTGTGCGATTCTGTAGTACCACTAGTTTTTTTAAACGTTTGGTAGCGATGGCACTAAATGTACTCAATAAGATGACATAAACGTCATGTTTCTCTTTTGCTTTGTTCTTTCAAAAATTAGAAAAATGTAATTTTTTTGTCTGGTCTCTCATGTCGTGAATATTAAGCGAAGATTTGTTTACATTATTGCATTTACAAGTACATTTGCTTGAAATAATGCCTGATAAAGTTTTTACCCAAATGTTTTCTGTGAAACCGAACTCAAATTTCCGCATCTTCAGAAACTTTCAAACGCCATTTTCTCAAAAACGGCTCAAAATTATTTCTTACTTTTCGTATGAATAGTGCTAATGACCATGTTTGAGAATTCAGAAAATTAATGTTGCCATATTCTTTAGTTTTTATTCAAAAATTACAACAATGTAGTTTTTAACTAGGCGTCATTAATTTTTATTCTAATGGGAATTTGTTTACATTATTGTATTTATGAGTACATATGCTTTAAATAACGTCATATAAAGTATCTTGAAAAATAAAAAGTATTCTGTGACAATGAGCTCAAAACGCTCAAATATCATTTTCTAAAAAATGAGCTCAAATTTTCTCAAACTTTTGCAATGGAAAGTGTTAATTGCACTGATTAATATTATCTACAATATATTATGTGGTATTCTTTCGTTTCTTCAAAAATTACGCAATTGCAATTTTCTTGAAATATCTCTCACGCAATTTCCAGTGATTTGTTGCATTTGTTAGTTAAAGGGTTTCAATTGATTTCTAATCCCGTTTTATCGAAAATAAAAAAAATTCATATGCTTCATAATTTGAATTTACAGAAGAACTTGAACGGCATTTTCTTACAAACTGCTTCAAATGGTGCCAAATATTTCAATGAAAATTGCTATTTAGGACGAGGTTTTACTCTTCTTTAATATTCTTATAGTAATACCTGTTTGACTTCTACTATTAGGGAACTGAAAAATTGAGAAAATGTCCTTTGGGCGGCGATAGAAGGCAGCGGGCAAGAGCATAGTGCAAGACCATAATACCCGTCAACACCAAGGAAAATTGACAACTTTATTACGAGAAAGTCTGTACTATTCTGTAGCACACTAGTTAATTCACTCTAATCGCATCATGTAGCGATTTGTTTATAGCTTTCCGTAGCAACGGCGATCGTAGTAAATATGGTAAGTCCAAATGGCAATACTATGCTTTTCACATGTTTCACTAAGTTATCCTTCCGTAGATCATTTCAAATTTTGTGATGCCTCATGCTTGTTAGTATCATGTCGCAATAAAATAAGGCGGAAGAGTCGAAAAGTCAATAGAAAGATATTTTAAAATCTCTGAACCTTCAAGTAGATACATTGTTGAAGTGATGTTTTTGTAGTTCTTCACGCATTGCATCCACGTTGGACGTAACAATATCAACATTGCTTAATTATTCAACATCAACTAGTCTACTTGTTTGTTTTTGATAATAATCACAATTGACTTATGCTTGGGATTTCATTCTTGAGAAAATGCATCTTTTTTGCTGATTCCAGTTTCTATTAATTAGATATGGGATTGACGCATAAAATACGTTATATACGGTAATGCTGTTTGCAAGAAAACACATTAATGTATTGAACAGTAAAGCATGGTAGCAAGGTAATATTTTATTCGTGAGAAATAATGTGATGTTTTTGAATAGGAATTACAAACAGCGATATTTCAACGGCAGATGTTTTGAGAGAATATAAAGTAGGTTTTAAGTTGACAGTTAGAAAAATGAGATATAAGGTTGCATAACGTATTCAGAGAAGAAACATTCTTTGAATACTGTTTGAGGGCAGAGAAATGAGATTCATGTGACCAGGGGACCTGAGTTCATATGAGGTTGGAGATACTATTTTGCAATATACATTTACTGGTTCACGGAAAGACGTGTTTTTCAAGTAACAAGAGGATTTTTAGTCAAGTGTGTCGTCTGCTATTAATTTAATTAATTATAGAATTGCAAAAAGTCTTGGAAAATGCGGCAGTTATTCAGAATAACAGAATTCTGAATACATCTCAATGGTTTTAAGAGAGGTTTCTCTAACGCAAGTCTATGCAACTGGTAATGGAGGTAACAAATACACCTATGGTCGTGTTTCCGTTGTTCTAAAACACGGGTGTCCATCTTGCATGGCATCAAGGGCCACAACTAAAACCTGCAACATTGTGGCGGGCCATATTTTCAATACTCGGGCGATACACACCTTAGTTCCTAGTATCGTTGATCTCGACAGTTTTCTTGGCTTCTCTGAAACGGGAGGGGGAGAATAGAACCATGCGTGAGGTCATACCGTACCACCAATAACGGTTTTTTGTCGATTCGTGAATTCCTTTTGTCGTTTCATGGAAGAATGATGAAAAAATAATTCCATGAAGGTTAATATATTCGTATTATGTTCACTTCAGAAATTGTCTACACAATAACATAAATGAGGGTAAGAAAAATATATAGTACCTTTTACAATGCTTATTTCACACTTTTAAATGCGTATTTTACATTGTGAAATGCTTATTTTGCCTATTTATACAGTTTGTAATGCCTATAAATCCACAGCATACTAATAACTTTTCGCGGGCGACAATAAATGGCATAGTTACCTCACGGCTCTAATGCTGGACAGCCCTGTTCTATAATTTGACATGTCAAATCCCTGTATTTTCGTTTTATTCTTTTCCATTTTTTTATATAATTTGCAAAGAAAATATGACAGATGATTTTAGAAAATATGACAGATTTTAAAATAAACAGTGGAGGCAGAACCCTGTAAGTGTATGGTTACTGGAGAAAGAATTAACTCCAAGAAGTACGTCATCAGATTTAAAACAAAAAAATTAACACATTTTGACTATGTGGATTAATCGGCTCGTATGCAACCAGAAAAAATACATTACTTTTCAACACACTTATCTGTAATGCATAGTTCAGAACGATGGTTTCTAGAGTATTGAAACAAGTTTTAAAATTTGTTGTCTATACCAGAATCACAATACGATACTTTTTTGGGCGATACATATTTGATGATGCATATTTGATTGGTTACTGTGATTAAAAATCGAGGAAACGTGTAGGAAACGTGAGGGACATCCAATAAACACTAGAACCTTGAGGGTTTTACCAGGCTCGTTGTCAGATTTTGTACGTGCTATATAATGCGCACAGATTCTCTAACTTGATGTTTCAACATTCAGAATCATATACGATTATAATGATTGAAAACATTAGGAATATAAAAGAAATTGAGAAATCACGACATTGGTGTGTAAAGGAACAAAGTTTCAATTTAAGTGCAGAGAACATTGTTTTTGAAGATTCCTCTTTTTATGGTTGTCACTTTTTGACGAGAGAAATATATATGAAAGCTATGCATTTATGTTTTGCGAAAGCGCAAAGGTACCAAATCGATTGTCGTATACAAATATTGTAGGAAACAGATCTTTAACATCAAAGAGGCATTCCATCCAATTAATTTATAAAACTGCGTCATGCTGAGGAGTGGGGTTACGCTGGAGACGACTTGTTTTTTACATCCAAAAACACTTTCATTACAATATACTGTATAGTGTTCATTTAAAAGTTGATCCTTCAGAAGTAATTATGAAAGACAATCCTCCGGAGACAGCGCCATTAAAAGCGACTCGTTAACGCTTTCATTTCAATTTCCCCAATTCCTCCACTGCTCCTCGCGCCCGGGGGCGGGGCCCGGGGGCTGGGCGGTGGCAACGGAGAAGGAACTGTGGGGCCCGCGAGTGAGCCGCGCTGTTAATTCTGCATTCCGCCTAATGGGGACTTCGACGCGCTGGAACGGTCGCCCTTCGGGCCGACTCCTAATTGGGTGGAGCCCGTTGGCGATCGCTCTCCCTTCGCCTTTACTTTCGACCTATCACTGTCTCAGGCCTGATGGCCTGGGCCTCGCAACCTGAAATAGGGCGCCATTAAATTGAATGGAATTTCTGCCAGGCAGTTGTGTTAGTAGGTGCGGCTGCAAGACTGAAGCTTCTGAATTTCAACGCCCCTGTGTTGTGTGCCGATAGGGATGTGTTTTCGTGATAAAGAGCAAGACAGAATGATGCCTCTGGTTGAGAATTCCCTCCGATGGGTCCTAGTGTCGACGAATAATTTCAGAAGGAAGCCGGAGTTAAGTTCTGTATATGCCTTATTTAACGCGGCAAGATTGTCTGATAACACAAATTTTGCCACGCTACTTTCACCATTTAGCGGAGGAAGAAGGTATCATGGGGGAGACGAATCAGGTGATTTGAGTATAGCTTAGAGGGTTGTTTTAGGCTTTGGGATCTTTTAATGCAGTAAATCTACAACATGGGACAGAAAGCTTTACTTCCCCTCTGAAGGAAGGCGTACGAATGATTTTTACGTCTTTCGAAAATTGACAACCCGATTCGTTAATCACCAAAGCCTCAGTGTCTCACAACTCTCCTTAGTTTTTATGATAAAAGTTGTTATTATAAATAGGCTGTAATTAGTGAAATATGTTTGACAAAATATAGGAAATGGGACCAGACGTGTAAGTTGAAATTTTATTTTGAAGTGCATTGTGTTGTGCCTAGGAATATATTTTAATAATTCATACGTTTGTATCTCGCTATTTTTGGGAAGTATTTAAAATATTCGTTTGTGCTATACATGTTATTAAGTTCATGCAGAAAAGAGAAATAAACTTCGTTTGTAAAATATGATTAATTTTCAGTATTTACAAACATAATTGCTGGGTATGAAGTGATCTTATTGTTACTCCATGAAAGTGTTTTACGCAGCCCTTTCAATAATTTTACTTGCTACAATGGCAAGAGTTAATCTTCACTAAGAAACGCTTCGCTCAGTGGAATACAAAACTACTTGTCAAAATATCTTCATTGTGTTTATTGAACAGTTCATTACATCTTCTATACGTACTCTTCTCCTTAGTTACATCAATGGCTGCGCCAGTTCAATCTGACAATAATCAAGAGTGATAAGGTGTTATAACAATGTAGTTTTCCAATCAAATAAAGACGTTCAGCCGTGCTGAAGTTCTGACCGTATCGCTTATTGTCCGTGCGAGTAAAATCCTGAAACTTCGCAACAGATGGTCCGCACGTCGCGAGAACCGAGGCCAGGGTGCTAGAAGCAAACGGGAACTCGGGGCGCGCCTATCTTCCGGCGAAGGGTCGGGCGGTAAAGGGTTAACGGTCGCCTCGACAGGACCGCCCGCCCTCCCACCCGCTCGCTGGGCCACCGGACCAACCCCTAATTGGGGGTTCTTCCGCCGGCGACGTTCCTTGGCCGAGCGATCGACTCGGCCGATCTCACCCCTTCCGCAACCGCGCCCACCTCCCGCCACCCCGCGACGCGTCGCGCTGCGTTGCGCCGAGCCGCGCCGCCGATGCCGCCCGCCCGGGAGGGAGGGGGCGGGATCTGAGGCGAATTAAATGACCCGAAAGAGCCTCGAACCGGGCACACAACGGCGGAAGTCGCGCGCGGGCGGGCGGCTGTGCGTATGTGCCCCAGACGCTGCCTCGACCCGGGGGTTTTTATTTCTGTTTTATTTGCGCCCTTTTTTCTCCGCTTGCCTCTCTGCGTTCCGCCTCCTTCCCTTCCTTTTTTTTTACGTTGCCTCTTAAACTTATAGCTGGGAGTTTAATACGGTCCTATAAAGGCGGATCGATTGGGAAGAGGGCAAGCGGGATAAATCTCGAAGTCCGGGCCAGGAATTCTAGAAGGATGGGAGGAGCGCCAGGGACTCGGCCGCAACGCGGCGGCGAGGGCGACGGGGGCAGCCGGCAGGAGCGGCTGGCTCGGTGGGGACGACTGTGAACGGTCGGGGTGGCTGACACCGTGAGAGTGGCTGAGACTGTGGAGGCGGTCTGGACAGCGGGGATGGAGGAGCGGTGGCGGCGGTGCGAACCTCGAAGACGTAGGGGCCTAGCGGCTGGTACGGTAGGTGTGGTTGGCACGGCGATGATGGAGAGGGCGACCAGGACTTTTGGGGGTGACATGGGCGGTTGAGGCATTGGGGACGTCGGGACGGTGGGGGCTTCGGGGGCGGTGAGATAGTCGGGGCGGCAGGGGCGTCGGGGACGTCAGGGCGTCGGAGAATGTGGGGATGATGAAGGCGGTGGAGTCGGGGGTTGCCGTTGAACACCGGGGGGCGGCTGGACGTGGGGCGGCGAGACGGTAGGTATGGTAGAGATCGGCACGACGAAGACGGCGTGGGCGACGAGGGCTGCTGGGACAGCGGTGGTGTCGGGGGCGATGGGGGCGGCGGAGGCCGTGGGTGTGGTAGTCAGAGGCTGGCATAGGCGAGGATGGTGAGGGCGACGAGGACGTTGGGGTCGTCAGGGGCGGTGAGTCCGGGGCGATGGGGGCGTCAGCGGCAGTGGCAGCGGCGGGCCGTGGAGCATCGGGAGTAGTCAGGGCGTCGGGGGTGGGGGCAGGCATCGGCAGCGGGGGTAGGGCAGAGGGGACGTCAGAGGCGTCGGAGAAGGGGGGGACGGTGGAGGCGGCGGGAACGGGGATGCGTTGCAGACGGCGGGGATGTCGGTGGCGGCGGAGACGATCGGCATGGTAGGGATGGCTGGCACGACGAAGATGGCGAGGGTGACGAGAGCGTTGGGGACGGTGGTGTTGGGGGCGACGAGGGCGGCAAAGTCTCGCTCTCGCGGCCGCCTGTCCTTCACCTCCCGCGTGCAAGCCACTCGGATGGTCAATAATGGAAGACAGTAAAAGCCCCTGCGCGTTACGATCGCCCGTTCGCCCAGCCGGCTGACCGGTCGCCCGGCTGGTGCGCTCGGGGCTGCAGCCTTGGGGAACACCAGATGCAGAGCTGCAGGCAATTTCCGTCGCGGCGCGGGTGGGGGCGGGGAATGAGCTTTTTACGCAGTCGCGAAACGCCCGGGGGTGCGAAGACGCGAGGAGGCTACGGGCATGAGAGGGGTCGATGGGCGTGAACCGTAGCGAACAGCTGAACGTCGTCCACCTCTGGCTCTTCAATTCACGTGCGCTCCCTATGGAGTTTGAGAGCGATTTTACGGCTGATTTTTCTCATCTTGTAATTATTTAATCGTCATTGCAGTAATATTATTTTTACATATAATCTATCCATCCAAATGCCATCCCTTTCAAATATTGCCATACGTCAGCAACTGGAGTCATAAAGAATGCCAGCGTGCGGACATGTAATATATGCGCTTATTACAGGTGTAATAATGCTTGTGTTTATCGGATGTGCTAGGTGAAGTTGTGAGAAGAGAACTGAAACATCGAAGATCAAAGGGTGGTGGTTTTTCGATTCGAGCTCTGTATTTGGTTTGCACGATATCATTGCTTGAATGGGAAATCGAGACACCGGTTCTTGTGTTTCTTTGTGTGAATTTTTCCCAACAATTTCAGGTAGAAGCTGTTACAGTTCTTGAACAGATCAGTTAGAATATTGATCAATCTAAGCGAAATTTGTTATTAGTTTGGAGAGTCTATGTCTGAGTTTCTTAGTAGATTTTATTTTCCTCTGACTCTCATTCTGTTATAGTTACTTATCAATAGTAGACCTAATGAAGTGGATAGTCAAACAATAGAGCTATAATGCCATGGGAAATACAGTTTACTATGCTTCCCCGATGTAACAGAGAATTTTATGTTAGTTTGCAACATAATATCAAACCATTGCATGCTTTCTGTTTATCT